GAAACTGATTGTGTGGTGAGAATAGAAATGTCCACTTCCTCTAAAAAGGGTCTCATATTGGGAATCGATGACATCCATATTGGAAGCAATGACAATGAAACGTGCAGTGATTATATCCTAATCCAAGACTCAGACTCTAAGGATGAAACCAAATGGTGTAGAAATAATAAGACCGACATTTCTGGGAAAGAGTTTCCCGGACAATCCCATATAGACATTGGATTTCATGCGGGAAAGGCTAGCAATTCAAGCTTCACATTAATTGTAACTGAATTCGAAGGTATCATAAGTTACTGTGATTTATGTTTGTAATCATTATAAACGGGAAATTATTTGTGTGTATATATCATATATAGCGCCGAGTTTGGGATATTGTTTCTCAAACAAGAATCTGAAATGTAGTTCGAAAGCAGGAAAACAATGTGTTTCAAAGGCATACCAATGCGATGGATACAGAAACTGTCCCGAAGGTGACGATGAAAATGGTTGCCCTTCAGGACCGACCACTACTACCACTACTATCACTACTACCACACCATCAAATCACACGACGACGCCGACCACACACTCTACGACATCCCATACAACACAACCAACTACTCCTCCGACAACTCCCAAACCTGAGCCCAAAGGCCTGGGCGGTGGCTTTATAGCGCTGATAGTGATTGGCGTATTAATCGCGGCCGCAATTGTCGTCTTTGTTATCTTTAAATGTCTTAAGAGAAGACGAGAAAATAACGGATACTCTGCTGTAAATAGTGATTAAATAACTCTTATGAGTCTAAAACTTTCTTTTAATTGATCACATAATTTAATATTTAAAAAGTAGATTCAAATAATGTTATCTAATATTATTTTAATTTTTAAGTTTTAGTATTATAAATACATTAACTTGTAATTCATTGATATTATTGTAAAATAATTTTTTAAAAGTAATTTGTAATAAGTATGAAATTCATGCCATGAGTGCTATTACTCTAGAAGAGTTTAATGAATACTGTATCTTGAAGTCCAAAACATATTTAAAGTTTTCGTGCTTAAAGAAATTGTTTGTATAACTATTTGACTAATCCAATAAATTATATTTTCAAAAAAAACTACAATTTTATTCATAAAATAACGATTATAGGCATCAAATAGATATAAAAATAATTGTTTTTTGTTTTGTTAATTATATGGAAACAAAACCGGTATTTACAACAAGAATTAGAAAGCGTTGGCACATCTCAAGGATTGTTATTGTATTTTTATATAACACTTATTACTTATTTGATAAATTATCGTCCGATTTTTAAAAATGACTGAGAATATGATTTAACTAAATAATAACCGTCTGTTAATAAAATACTTGAATAAAAATTAGGATAAATATGAGAAATCCTTCAAAATGTTCTCAACTGTTTGTGAATCATTCAAATTGAATTCTAACTATGTTATTTATAGTCAAATAAATCTAAATTCTATAGAATAATATCTATACATAAGTGTCATATAAATTCTTGGTTTATTAGTAGCTTATTTTATATAAGTTAATTTCAATTAAAATTACAGTATTAATAAAATGAATATAAAATTATTATATATCTAGTTATTTTTAAAATTTTTCTTTTCTCAACATTTTGATTACAAAGTTGTCTATAAATTATTGTTTCACTATTTATTAGATAACTGATGGTATCCATAACTTTATGATAAAGTGCTTATTTTCATTTAATAATGTTATAATAGCTAT